CCACTCACGGCCGTCGAGCTGATTCTGACTCATAGTGACCCTATAGGATAGAGCAGAACTGCCTCATTAGGGTTTCCAAGGCTATAAATCTTTATGGAAACAGACTGCCACATCTTTTCCCCTGCAGAGCCGCTGGTGGGTTCAAACCACCGACTTTTCAGTTAGGAGCTGAGTGCTTAACCACCGTACCACCAGGGCTCCTGCTTAATATAAATCAAGAATTGGCTCTTATCTTTCAGCTTAGTGCTTCCTTCTAAAGTTTTGGAAATTAGCCAGACTGTTATGATTAACACTTCCCACCCCCTCCTGCTACCACCACAAAAGTATGTGCTTCTCTCAGTCATGAAAGAGAATAAAATCCTCATCTTTTTCAATGGCAAGGTCATTGCAAATAACATGAAGCTCTTCATTCCTTCCCATAGGACAGCATTTTAGGAAGTGTTCATGATGCCCAGACATCATGAGCAATGATGGGGGTTCAAAAATCTTCCATTTCACCCTCTAAGTGAAGGCTTTCCCCGACTTGTCTGTCAGTTTGTCATACTGTGGGGGCTTGGGTGTTGCTGTGATGCTGGAAGCTATGCCAGCATCCCATGTGCAAAGAGCTGGAGATAGAAAACCAAAAGGGAAGAACATGCTCAGCATCTCTCAAGCTGAAAGAACTGAAGAAAAAATTCAAGCCTTGAGTTGCAATAGTGAAGGATTCTATGGGGAAAACATTAAAAGATGCAGGATGCATCAAAAGAAGACGGAGGAATACACACAGTCATTATACCAAAAAGAATTGGTCAATGTTTAACCATTTCAAGAGGTTGCATATGATCAGAAAGCAATGGTACTGAAGGAAGAAGTCCAAGCTACACTGAAGGCATTGGTGAAAAACAAGGCTCCAGGAATTGACAGAATATCAATTGAGATGTTTCAACAAATGGATGCAGTGCTGGAGGTGCTCACTCGTCTATGCCAAGAAATTTGGAAGACAGCTACCTGGCCAACCAACTGGAAGAGATTCATATTTATACCTATCCCTAAGAAAGTGATCCAACCAAATGCAGAAATTATCAAACAGTGTCATTAATATCACACGCAAGTAAAATTTTGCTGAAGATCATTCAAAAGCAGCTGCAGCAGTATATCTACAGGGAACTGCCAGAAATTCAGGCCGGATTCAGAAGAGGACATGGAACCAGGGATATCATTCCTGATGTCAGATGGATCCTGGTTGAAAGCAAAGAATACCAGAAGGATGTTTACCTGTGTTTTATTGACTATGCAAAGGTATTCAACTGTGTGGATCATAACAAATTATGGATAACATTGTGAAGAATGGGAATTCCAGAACACTTAATTGTGCTCATGCAGAACCTGTACATAGACCAAGAGGCAGTTGTTCAAACAGAACAAGGTGATACTGCGTGGTTTAAAGTCAGGAAACGTGTGCATCAGGGTTGTAGCCTTTAACCGTACCTATCCAATCTGTATGCTGAACAGATAATGGGAGAATCTGGACTATATGAAAAAGAACGGGGCATCAGGATTGGAGGTAGACTCATTAACCTGCGTATGCAGATGGCACAACTTTGCTTGCTGAAAGTGCAGAGGACTTGAAGCATTTACTGATAAGATCAAAGACCACAGCGTTCAGTATGGACTACACCTTCACATAAAGAAAACAAAAGTCCTCACAACTGAACCAATAAGCAACATCATGATAAACGGAGAAAAGATTGAAGTTGTCAAGGATTTCATTTTATTTGGATTCACAATCAACACCCATGGAAGAAGCAGTCAAGAAATCAAGAGACACATTGCATTGGGCAAATCTGCTTCAAAAGACCTCTTTAAAGTGTAGAAAAGCAATGATATCACTTTGAAGACTAAGGTGCACCTGACCCAAGCCATGGTATTTTCAATTGCATCATATACATGTGAAAGCTGGACAATGAATAAGAAGACCAAAGAAGAAATGATGCCTTTGAATTGTGGTGTTGGCGAAGAATGTTGAATATACCATGGACTGCCAAAAGAATGAACAAATCTGCCTTGGAAGAAGTACAACAAGAATGCTTCTTAGAAGCAAGGATGGCGAGACTACGTCTTATATACTTTGGACATGTTGTCAGAAGGGATCAGTCCCTGGAGAAGGACATCATGCTTGGTAAAGTATAGGGTCAGCAAAAAAGAGGAAGACCCTCAATGAGATGGATTGACACAGTGGCTGCAACAAAGGGCTCAAGCATAACAATGATCATGAGGATGGCACAGGACCGGGCAGTGTTTCCTTCTTCAGTACATAGGGTCCCTATGAGTCAGAACCAACTCGACAGCACCTAACAATAAGTGAAGGCTGCAGACCAGGCACCCAAGGTAGCTCCAGCTAAACAACTGTGCAAGGGGCAGGGGGTGTTGTCACAGCCTCGGCCCACCACCGCTCACTTCTTATCTCCTCCCAGACCTCATTTCTTATGCTTAACAGAGTTTCTCTCTTAGGAGTCAACTAACATTTCCTATCTCCAAATCCAACCCTATCCTATATGACTAGTATTTTTTTTTTTACAACATAGAAATCATATTTTACTGTTAGATTAAAATATGTGAATTTCTCTACTGACTCTCCAAAATGAATACAAATTGTTCCTTTTCTAGAAAATTCCATTATTCTGCATCACTTAAAAAGACATTTCTCACATCTCCTTGTTTCAACATTGACCAGCACATTCCTACCTGTCCTTCAGATCTTTGCAGATGCTTTGCTCCTTCCTTGATCCACTGATTAGGTTAGTCCTCCAAGTCCTATACTCTCAAGACACCCTCTGTTCCCCTCTCACTCTCATCACCCTTTTCATAGCTGTGCTCTCTCCCCTCTGGACTGCAATCTGTATGCGATAAGGGACCGTGTCTGTCTTGCTCACTGCTGTATCCTCAGCACCTAGTGCAATGCCTGGTACCTACTGGGGACTCAGTAAATACTATGAGATATTGTTAAATGAACAAGTTCAGTTTTCCTTTAATTAATGATTATCTCAGCACTTTTAAATTATAGTCAACTTTACAAAAAATTGATATACCCATTAACTTTACAGGAACATAGAACTATACAAGTGATCATAATTCTTGTTATTTGTATACCACTGTGCAGTTAACGGAGCCCTGATGGCACAGTGGTTAAGAGCTCAGCAGCAAATCCACCAGCTGCTCCTTGGAAACGCTATGGAGCAGTTCTGCTATAGAGTGGCTATGAGTTGGAATCGGCTCACTGGCAACGGGTTTGGTTTTTGGTTTTTTATTTTGTCAATTATTTAATTCTCACAATCACATAGGGCAGGCATTGCTGTCCTTATTTAAGCCGTGGAGAAACTGAAGCCCAGACATTTGCCCAGCTTTTCACAACTATAGGTGATGAGCAGGGCCTCAATTGCAGGGCCTATGCTACTTCATATCACTACACTGTCTAATGGTTAGTAAGTCCGTCCTTCCACCAAGGTTTTCCTCTGTTACTTCCAGAAACCTGATTATACCCTTTCATTCCAACTCATTTGCAATTGGGTCAATATTCTCTCTTTTCCCCCTGGTCAGTTCCACCAACCACTGGCATAACAGCTCGAATTGGGGGCCTAGAGGCTATCTGACGAGTCCTGCTGGCACAGCATTTAAGCTCTTGACTACTAACAGAAAGGGTTGGTGGTTCGAACCCACCACCTGCTCTGGGGGAGAAAGATGTGGCAGTCTGCTCTCCTGTAAATGTTACAGCCTAGGAAACCTTTTGGGCAGTTCTTCTCTGTCCTATAGGGTCACTATGAGCCGGAATTGACTCGATGGCAACAATGGGAACTGGCAAGAGGCCATCTAGTCTAGAATTCTATTGTGCTAAATGTAGGTTTCCCACCCCTCCATTCCCAAATGTGTCTTACCATATCAGTGTTATTTTTTTACCTTACACCAATGCATGCCACCATGCCAGCACAACAAAGGGCCCTCAATAGACTTTTGTTGAGGGTTCACACCAGGTCTTCATCACAAAGTGAGCTTAGGGACTGTCTAACATTTGGGAAGTCCTGTATGAGTGTCAGCAAAAAGGGACCCCTTTTAGAACTGAATGACCGTCAGAAGGCCCTTGATGGCTGAATTGCCATTGGTTAGTGTAGGTGTTGCCTTTGCTTGTCTGTATCGTGTTATGATGTGCACACATGGGTGTCACTGAAATACAATGTCTTTGTTCCATTTCGGTTCTATTTTACTGAACAAACAAAAGAGGGCAAGGAGATGAATGTCAAAGCCTTGGTGGGCCCCTTTGCTTCATAGCTGGAATCTCTACACAAGGAGATGAGGATTGTCATAGTCCTTGTGTATTTGAGTATTTATCACACCCACCTTAAAGAAATTGCCTTGTCAATTGCTGCTTCACCCAAGTTTGGTCTGGTTAGGAATGATCAAGGACTCCAACCCCTTTCTGTCTCTACTGAAAATTCTCCAGATACACTCCTCATTCTCCATGATGATCTTTATAACCTGTATCTCCCATATCATTTAAATGTCGTAGAGTCCTACGGCAATACTGACATTCATATATAGTCTGTCTCATTACTGTTGCTTTGTATTCTTATTGAATAGCATTGTCTGTAATATGCTTTGTTTGCAAAGTGGCTTATATTGCCTTTTTAAATTAAGAGATCTGGACTGGTCTATAATTTACTAGCAATTTGAAGTATAGATTAAACTAGATAAAATAGTTTTTAAGGATCATTAAAATATGATTAAATTTAAGGTATTGCACATATTTTCAATTAGAACTCAGAGATTAAATGAAACTTCTCTCTCATAGGGTTACATTATAGTATTCATTAATGAGGAATAATTACATAAAATGACTTGGCCCCTAGAATAATTGGATATGGAAAGCCAAGTGCAAAGTAATGCTTATAACTGTAGAATGTATGTATTTAGTAGAAACACTTCTCTGGTGATGAACTTCACATTTCTCTTGCTTTCACAGTAATAAACGACTGGTGGCCTTAGTGCCCATGCCCAGTGACCCTCCATTCAATACCCGAAGAGCCTACACCAGTGAGGATGAAGCCTGGAAGTCATATTTGGAGAATCCCCTGACGGCAGCCACCAAGGCGATGATGAGTATTAATGGTGACGAGGACAGTGCTGCTGCTCTTGGTCTGCTGTATGACTACTACAAGGTAGACCCCGCAGCCCCACTCTGCCCTCCTACCACCCCCAAGGCCACCTATCCCCGGTGAGAAGAGATCATGCACACACGCACACACACAGACAGTTACCATTGAGTTGATTTTGACTCATGGCAACCCCATGTATTGCTGAGTAGAACTGCTCCATAGGGTTTTCTTGACTGTAACCTACAGAGCGGATTGCCTCGCCTTTCTTATGTGGTGCTGTTGGGTGGGTTTGAACCACCAACCTTTAAGTTAGTAGTAGAGCACAAGCTGTTTGTACCACCCAGGGACTCCTGAAGAGATAACAGGACCTTTTAAATTCAGAGGGGACAGATTCTTTATCATAGGCCAGAGAACTAATAATATTTCCACCCTTGCTACGGACTTCAGCCTTAGGTCTTCCTTTTCTCATTGCATCTCTACTTTCCCATCTGTGGAAGCAGAACTTCACTACTCACCCAGAGGAAGTTTTCTTTTTTGGGTAATTACTTCTTGTGTCCTTTGTCCACATGCATACATATTATCTACATAATTTCTGCTTGACATCATATTACAAATGCTCCTTTGCTACTAATTTTACTTTATATTTATGATTTTTGGTGAAAAATATTACATTGTGTGGCTATGCCATACTTTAATTAGTCATTGCCTATTTGTTGGGCATTTAGGTTGTTTCTAGATTTTTCAGTTTTATAAGAAACATTCTAATGAGTAATTTTGTGGAACTCTTTTGCAGCAGTTCCAAAACTTAATTTTGTTACCACCTTAACTGTCTTCATTTGTTTCAGTGGGTACTACATTTTTCGAAAAACCGTTAAAACAAAATGAATGTAATTCACTTACTTAACAAAGATAGCTACCATACAATAGTTATAAAACAGGAGTATTTCAGGAAATCAAACAACAAACAATAGTCTGTCTCAACTGTAAAGCAACTATACCTGGTATGACTTGCTCCCTCAGAACTGGTGAAGTGTAAAAAATCAACAGGTATTTAGTGATTGAGGAGATTTATTGCCTGCTTTGATTGCAGACACCTCTGGTTGTTGCTGGGAATTGGCACAAAGGTGAGAATGGCTGTGTTTATTTTGCTGGCTGGGCAATAAGAACTCCAATTTCAGAATAAGAACTAGATCCCTGCCTGCCTACCCCTACATCATGAGCAACTTTACACAAAGTCACCCAGAAGGCATAATTTTCCTTTTGGTTGTCTTTAGTCTACTTCCTATTTCCTTCCAGCTTCCTTTTTCTTCTTATTTCCTTCTGGTTTCCTAATGAAAAAGAGAAGTATATCCTGAAACAAAAATAATTAGTGATTTCTGAAAACAATATACTTTATTTCCCATATATTCAGTGGATAATTGTTAGTTGCTGTCAAATTGATTTTCAATTCATAGTGACCCCATGGGACACAGTAGAACTGCCCCATAGGATTTTCTTGGCTATAGTCTTTATGAGAGCAGATCAACAGGTCTGTTTTTTCTCCCTCAAAGTCACCGGTGGGTTTGAACCGCTGACATTTCAGTTAGCAGCTGAGTGTTGAACCACTTTGCCATCAGGGCTCTGTAGTGTATAATTAATTGTTAATTAGTATAAGATCCAGATTACCTCTGCTCTTGCACATTTACTAACATTTAAAGGAAAGTTGAAATATTGTTTTCTGTAAATATTTTGAGATGCAGCATGGGTAGTTTTACATAAAACTCAAGTTGTAGCCAAGTCTATAACTCTTTCTCTTGAATTAATATTTTCCATGATTAACTTATTAATTTAGGATATAAAGTATATACATAGAATATTTTCTAAGATTGTGGGTGTGTAATAATAGAGTTATATGCTTCTTTTCATTTTGCACAAGCTTTACTGAAACATTTTAGTGTCTGTGGAAAGAGTCTTGTTTCCAAAAACTTTATGTACAGATGATCATGTTGAGGCCTTAATTCTACTGGTGTTAAAGTTATAGCAAAGTTAAATCTACTTTGAGGGTAGACTTTCTATGTTGTAAAGTGGAATGTTAATAAAAAAAAGAGATTCTCTTTTTTAATTTGAGTAGGGGATTCCCTAGGTCAGCATTTGGGAGAGTTCTCTGTAAGTCAACCACCAAAACAGACACTAAATAGAGACAAAACAATATGTTCAAGAAATAATTTAGTATTTGTTTAAAAAAAATTGGCAAATGATTGTGTGTGTGTGAGTGTGAGTTGGTATGGAAGCTCAAATGTCTTAGTCTGGATTCTCAAAAAGAGCAAAAACCAATGAAATGCATATATAAATATATCTAGAGAGATTTACTTCAAGGATATGGCTCACACGTTTGTGGAGACTGTTAAATCCGAAATCCATGGATCAGGCAGTAGGCTGAGACCTCTGCTGGCTTATGGGGCTGCAGGGGCTGTTGAATACAAAATCTGCACATCAGGCAGCAGGACAGAGAATTTCTGCAGGTTTATGTCCCAAGAACCAGACGTCAGGCTACTAGAAGAGTGCAGGGTTGAGAGAGAGAGAGCGAGGTTTGCCAGAACATCCATTTATATACTGGAGGCAGGCCACACCCCCAAGAAAACTCCTCTTTCAACTGATTGGCTGATCACATTAGATCACACAACGGAAGGTGATTACATTATGGAAGAGCACCCAGTCCAGTATCGGCCAAACCACTGAGAATAATAGGGTAGCCAAGTTGACACATAACATTAACTATCACACCATAACTAGGAACAAGATTGTTGAAGGTGATTCTCAGATTAACCAAGATGGAGAATATGGAAGAAAGGCTTTTTAGAGAAAGATAATTATGTGTTCAGGATGTGCTTGTGGGATGTCTTGGTAGGGATATCTGATAAACAGTAATGTGGGTCTGGAAGAAAACCCTAGTGATATACTTCTGAAAATCAGCCAATGAAAATCCCATGGATCACAATAGTCAGATCCAAAAACAACCGTGGGGATGGCGCAGGACTGGGCAGTGTTTCATTCCATTGCGCATGGGGTAACCATGAACTGGGGGCTGACTCAATGGCAGCTAACAGCAATAACATCAAAAATGTGGGTCTAGAACTCAAGTAAGGGGACTAAGTTGATAGATCTCAGTTCCTCTAAGGATGGCCCTTTGGGAAGCCAAAGGTGTAAACATGGTTCTTTTTTTTTTTTAATTTACTCAGACTGGAGTAAACTCAAAGATTAATAACCACCTTGGTTGCATTGTGTTCAGCACTGTAGACAGAGCACAGTTGTCTGCTCAGGGCTCACATTGGTCCCTTTGGTAGCAATAACATTCACTTACGTGTATTTTTTTAAAAAATAATATTTTATTATGTTTTCACTGAAGGTTTACACAGCAGTATAGGTTCCATTCAATAATTTCTACACAAATTGTTCAGTGACATTGGTTATGTTTTTTGCAGTTTGTGAACATTCTCAGTACTTCCATCCTGGTTGTTCTGTTTCCATTAGTCTAGTTTCTCTGCTCACTTATATTAAAAATTAGAAGTACATACAATGGTTTGTAATAACAAATGGGCGCTACTTTGCATTGTGTATCAAAACATTATTGTTATTACCGATTATTATGCTAAAGATGTTTTAGTGTATCTGGAAGTGTTTCTTTAATGTGTTTTATGCATAAGAGGGTACACTATATACTAAGACAAACATTTGACTGACTAACGTTAGATATGAACCATACCTAACTGTTTCGACTTATGTACAAATTCAACTTAAAGACAGACTTAGGAACGGAATTTGTTCGTAATGTGGGGACTGCCTGTAATTGTTGACCGTTTGGGCTTCCGTGTGTTTTTGAGAGTTGCTAACGTGTTTTAATGTATGGAATCCCCATTTCTTGTACTTCTTTGGCTCTGCATTTACCAGACCATTTTAACTGATCCATTCTTTCTTTCGACAAGTATCTAATGAGGGCTTACTACATTGGCACTTAGGACATAACTGTAACCGTGCATTAAGTAGACACTCAGGGATTGTAGTCTTATCATGGATACTAAAATTTAAGATTGGACTCTAAGTATGGAAAGGAGCTAGCCTGGGGAAGTCACAGGTAAGGTGGGAAGGTTGGGGGGAGTGGGATGCATTTCAGGCAGAGAGGACTTTGTATGATGGTTCTGTTACAAGAACGAGCATCGCATGGTCATAGATACAGTGTGGCTGAAACGTGGTAAGCAAAGAAGGGGGCGGCCCAAGTTGAGGTAGGAGACATTTTTGAGGCCATGTTAAAGATTCCAAGACTGATGAGAAGGCTTTGAAGAATTTAAAGTAGGAACGTGATGAGATCAGACTTGCATTTTAAAATCACTCTGGGTCCTTCTATAAAGAAAGTGGATTTGTAGACACTAAACGTAGGAGAGGAGAGGCCAGTAAAGAAGCTGGTGAAACAGCCCAGGCAAGAGATGTTGAAGGCGGAACCAGGAGGCAGGTATCCAGAGGGAACTGGTTGGCTTTCAGAGACTTGTGGAACTTTGTGATTGGTTGTAAGAGGAGAGGGTGAAGCACGTCCTGACAAGGAGAATGTGGTTGTGCCACAGCACACAGGATGTTAAAGGGACCACAAAGTGTGCTATAGCACAGAGTATGTTAAAGGGAACCTTGTTCAAGGCCCTTGCTCACCTGGCTTTTGCTCATCTTTGAGGGCACGTTACCCCCTCACTTCTTCCTTAAGCTGGCCATGCCTTCCTTATTCTGTTATATCCTCGAGACTTTGTATACATTGTACCCTGGGCTGTAAAGACTTCTTGATCTACCCAAGAAATCCTACTCAGAGCTCAGCTGCTCGATGGAGCTCCATCCTCTAGGCTTTCAGAGTGCCCTGTGAGGCTCAGTTTTTCCTCAGATTACTGGGTATTGAAATTTTACGTTTATCTGTCATCGTCAGCGGACGGCAGGAACTATACTTTCTTCACATCATTTCTATGTAGTTCTTAGCAATGCCTGGTACATTGCGTTGTTGTGTGCCATCGTGTTGATTCTCACTCACAACGACCCTATAGGACAGAGTAGAACTGCCCCATAGGGTTTCCAGGGCTGTAATCCTTATGGAAGCGGACTGCCACATCTTTCTCCTGAGGAGCGGCTGGTGGGTTCAAATCGCCGACCTTTCGGTTAGCAGCTGAGCACTTAACCATTGCGCCACCAGGTCTTCCTGGTACATTGTAGACCCTCAAAATTAACATATGAATGAAGGACTTATATTTGATTTAGTTTATTTTTATTTAACAAATACTTACAAAGTACCAGGCATGCTATTTTTGTTTTTTAATTAGCTCATTTAATTCTACTAAAAGCTCTGTGATTTATAGGACATCATTATTCTCACTTTACAGATGAGGAAACTGAGACACATTTGGTTAATGGTAGAACTGAGAACTGAACCGAGGCAGTCAGGCTCTAGGACTCTATTCTTAGCCACCCTGCTGTGTCTCCTCCGTAGTCCAGCTGACTGGGCTTGCATACATAGCCAGGTGAATGGAAACCATAGGAATTGCTAGGCAAATCCAGAAGGGGGCTGCTCTCATAAAAGTTCTTTCGTCTCAAAACAGTAAAGGCTGCATTTTGGGTTTAAAGGATTTTGGCTAGAAGGAAGATCTGGAAATTTAACAAAAACGGGCAAAAACAAGCAAAAATAATCCAACCAACCAACCAACCAAATCAAACCTACTTTCTGTATGTTTGAAACCATGGCAAAGAAATATAAACAACCTGTGATGCAGGAGGGAATTTAGATGACGGTCAGAAACACAACTGGTGAGAGTGTCCCTTTTCTCAAGCAGTACTTTTTCAGTAATTTTTTAGGCAACGTGTTGATATCTTGGTTGTTAAGGTCCTTGGATGGTGCAAACGGTTTATGTGCTGCTACTCAAAAGGTTGGAGGTTCGAGTTCACCCAGAGGCACCTGGGACGAAAGTCTGGTAATCTATTTCCAAAAAAAAACCAGCCAAGTCTGTTTTTTGGAAATGGATTACCAGCCATTAAAAACTCTATGAAGCATAGTTCTACTCTGACACACATGGGGTCACCATGAGCCAGAGCTGACTTAACAGCAACTGGTATGGTTGTTAAAACAAGGATGTGCATTTGAAGAAAAATTGTGGAAGCAAGCCCATGAGCTCTGTAGGGAGGGTGGTTGAAGTGTGGTCCTGTTATATTAGATGCTTGCCTCCCCACTGGCCAACAGTCGGCTCCCCCAGATGTCAGCACCTGAAGTCTGCCATCAGAGTGGAGGGTCAGACCCAGTTACTTACTATGGTGCTTGTTGTAATGCCATATTTTCTGTCTGCTCAAGTGCACAGGTGTCCAGATTTACCCTCCACTCACATTACTTCTTTCCCCTCATCCACTCTCAAGGTGGGAGAGGACACGAGAGGTCTGCAGGGTGGGGGGTGGCTCAGCAGTCCCCCATGACAGCAGTATGCAGCGGAATTGTGGGTGCTGCTTGATTGTTGTGGCCCTATGGTTATCACCACCCCTCTGTTTCTGGCTCCCCTGTCATTGTCATTCAGGCCACTCACCTTTAACCATCTCCCGTCTCTAGCAAATTTATAACCTTTTCCTGTGGAACAGTTCATTTTAGTTTTTTTGTTTGTACTGGTGTCTAGCTCTGCATACGGTTGCTGTTGCATATACGTAAATCTTACTAATGGTTGGTAATATTTCCAGGTTCCTCGAGACAAGAGGCTGCTGTCTGTAAGTAAAGCAAGTGACAATCAAGAAGACCAGGATAAAAGGTATGGTGTCATGTAAAGGAATATGGATGGACCCCAAAATAACTTTTCTTCTATTTTTTTTTAATAATAGTATTAAACTGGAATCTTGTTCTTGAGAGGAGATGGGGTTGGAGAGAGTGGTGGTCAAGAAGCTTAGCTCCTCTATCAGTCTTCTAGGATCTGGACCAAAACCAGTCTCTCAGTAGGGAAAGCAAATTGCATTTTTTGTTGTGCATCCAAAGGCCATCAGAGGAACTCTTCAGACAACTCCTTCCAGGAGGCTTAAAATGCTAAGTGTTAGGGGTGATATGTTGGCAAACAGCCCACTGCTGGGATTAATTTTTCTAATAAACTCCATGGCTATATACCTGTGAGCAGGTCCTTGAGGGAGTGAAATACCCGAAGGATCACTTTCCACAAGGGGTGAGAGGGAGGTGGTTGGGTGTTTCTCAGCCCAGGGATGCAGCTGGGAGAGCCAGGAGCATCAGGGAGCACCCTCGGTTGCAGGGCGCAAAAGATCGTAGGAGATCACGGTGTAACACCCCTTCCTTGCGCTCCTGAGTTAAGAACCAGCTGAAAAATAAAGCACAGACAAGTTGAGATTAAAAACAAACCAACAAAAAAGCTTTATTTCTGATGAAGCCAATTGGAGAATGTGACTTCGAATCTGCAGTTCATAACTCTTCAGTCCTGACTGAGATGCATCTACGTATACCCAGTCCCAGGCAAGACTTCAGCCCTTCCCAGAGGGACAGGCCACTTGTGGCATGGCAGGGTGTGACTGGAGTGTCCCCTTTGGCCAGGAAGGTCTAGACAAAAAGAAAGAACCCAAAGCGTCTGAAACACCCTGCTCAGCTACTTCTCTCAAACTTACCAAACAAATAAATATCTTCCCCTGTGGAGGGATGGAGAGGAACCACACATTATTTTCTATTGGAGCTTCTGTCACATGGAAATAGAAAGCCAGGAGAAATGAACTCCTTGCCCCCCGCCCAATACATACATATATCAGAATGTTACCTGGCTTTAATAGGAACTGGTTATGACTTTATTATCTTGTTATATGATTGGCATTAGGGGTCCACTCCACTAGCCGGCAGCCCTGGGCTGTACATCACTTCCAGGGTGCACCCCTAGCAGAAGATTAAGGCAATTTGAATCTGATTTACCTTTCCAATAGGGATCTTCTGATGGGCCACGCTGCTCTGGGGCCCTGGGGCCTAGTTGGTACACAGTGACGGCAGGAGGAAAAAGCTGACTCTCTGCGGGTCCTGGAATTTTTCCATGATCTTGCCAGTATATAGGAGCCCTGGTGGCACAGTGGTTAAGAGGTCAGCTGCTAACCAAAAGGGCTACAGTTCGAATCCACCAGCTGCTCTCTGGGAGCCTGATGGTCCAGTTCTACTCTGTCCTATAGGGTCGCTATGAGTTGGAATTGACTCGACCGCATGGTGTTTTGTTTGGGTTTCTGGCCAGTATATATGAAGCTGGGCAGGTGCTGTCTGCCACCGTATAGCAGTGATCATAGCGG